AGAAGTTGCACGTCCAAGTCCGACAGCAGTAGAGCCTTGGCTTTAGGGTTTAGGGGTTTATAGAGTCTATAGGGTTTATAGGGTTTATAGGGTTTAGGGGTTTAGGGTTTAGGGTTTAGGGATTAGGGTCTAGGGGTTTAGGGGTTTAGGGGTTCAGGGGTTTAGGGGTTTAGGGGTTTAGGGTTTAGAGTTGAGATTTTGGGGATTACGGGCTCAAGGTTTGGGGATAAGGGATTTAGGGTTTAGGGTTTAGCGGGGTTCGTATAGGGTTTAGGGTGGGTCTAAGGAGGGTTTAGGGTGCGAAGAAGCAACATCCATTATGAATCTAAAGCAGACTCCATCTTGCTGAAGCCTGCAACCAGCCTGAATCCTCAAACAGTATCTGAACGCCAGCCACTTCCACGAGGCTAATGGAAACCCTGTAAAGGACCCTTAGAGGAACCCTGAAAGGGAACCCTTTCTAATTATTGAGGTCTTTTATGGCCCTACACATACATATATATATATATATATACACACATAAATATATGTACATAGATATACACACACAAGAATACATACATACATACATACATACATACATACATACATACATGCATACATACATACAGACATGCATACATACATACATACATACATACATACATACATACATACATGTACACATACATTATACATGTATACATATGTTGATTGATCGTAGTCGCATTGTCTTCCATGGTTGCGCCATCAATGAGAATCCGCAGCCGAAAGCGCGGCACGCTGCAGAGCTCACACAGGCGCTGCTTCAGCTGCAAAACCTGTGGCTTTATAGAAACTGGCCTTTAGGGTTTAGGGTTTATAGGGCTTTATAGAAGCTTGATGGGTTCCCTCTTAAGTTTTTTATATAGAGTTTAGAGCTTATAAAGGGATTCTGTAGGGGTTCAGGGTTTCGAGTTTGACGGTTTTAAGAAACGGTCCAACGAGAAAGCGAGACAGGGCTTCGGGTTTAGGGGTCTTAGGGTTTAGTGTAGGGGTCTTACTAACTAGAATAGGGTTTAGGGGATTCCTTTATATAAGTATAGCACAATACACTCCAAACCCTATTCTAATTATGGAGGCCCCTGCATTAGATGGTCATAGAGTATGCTGCTTCAATCGGACAGGGCCCAACCCGACGAGCCTAGCTACCTTGTTAGGGCTTAGCGTTGGTATGGTAGGTACTGGGTATGTGTACCATGCTATTTGTAGGCAACTGAACGAGTGTTGGGGGGGCTGACTGTAAGTACAAGCAATCATGAAAGACAAAAGATAAAGTCCACGATGGGTTCCGAATTCCCTCATAAATTGATTTTCATTCTACATATCATAGACTTAATTAAGAAAGAGAGATAGCGAGAGGGAGAGAGAGAGAGAGAGGGAGAGGGAGAGAGGGAGAGTGAGAGTGGGAGAACTATATACAGCAAAAAAATGAAGTCGAGGCAACCATGCTAAACTCAACAAGGTCAGAATGGCTTCTTACGGAGAAGGGTGTAAAGGCTACCAAGTAGTGATGTTTTCTTACGGTGTTACAACCATACGAATATTCAAGTTCCGTCTCTGTCCGTGTGTGTTCTCTCTCTTTTTCTCTCTGTCTTGTTCTATCTCTCTTGGTGTATTTCATTATTCCTCTATTTCCTCTATTACATTGTTTTGTGCTTTATGTTGTTCTTGATGTCTGTGTCATTATTGTTGTCATGCTTCACCTTTAACTACCATTCGATCGTTCGTTTTGTCTTTCATTGACTCCGCTAGCTATTTCGGTATCTTATTCTTATACCTCTCTCTCGGCCGGCCGGACGGACGGACGGACGGACGGACAGACGGAGCGACCGACCGACCGACCGACCGACCGCTGGCAGACACCAGCCCTGGTTTTTCAACTCATGGCATGACTATCGATAAGCGAATAACCCGCAACCCTTTCCTTAGAACCCAAACCTAAACCCTAAACCCTAAACCCTAAAGTCCAAGGTGCAGTCTCCACCTCCTCCACCGGTATGGCGGCCACCTCCTCACCCGAAGCCGCCCCCCAAACGCGCAGCATCGCTGGTGAGGCCGGCCGAGAAGATCGAGAAAGGGGGCATTGCTTTGGCACTGTACTCCTAAGCACTACAACCCTTAAAATCATGTAACCCCGTAGAGCCCTAAACCCATATGCTCCTAAACACTATAACCCTTAAGTCAGAATATAGCCTCCTAGAACCCTAGACCCTTGAATCATATAAGCCCTAAATCCCTCGACCCAAGGCGACGGTTCGCAGTTTGGGCATGGGTGTAACCCAGAGACTCCAATATCCCTTAATTAAGGAATCTACCTTAAATTATAATAGGAACCCTAGTAAGATTCAAGGTATACTCCTTAATTAAGGGATATTGGAGTCTCTGGGAATGAAGGTTTAGGCCTTCGGCTCCTGCCTTAGGCTGCAGTTCACTGAGGGGCCCTAAGAAGGCGCCTTTAAGGCTCCTTGGAAAGGGTTCCATAAATTTTTAGGAGCCTTGATAATTCGAAGAGGCTTTTGCTGTATGTCATTAGTATTTAGTACACTTGTAACACGGACCCCTAGATTGGTAATTATTCACATCACTAAACCCTAAACCCTAAACCCTAAACCCTATAGACCCTAAACCCTAGACCGCCTAAAAGAAGAGCCGTTGGGGCTTCGGGTTGGCCCAGAATCCCAAACCAACAACCTGCACGACTGATTTAGGGTTGAGGGTTGAGGCTAGGATTAAGGGTTTAGGGTTTCGGCTTTAGGGTTTAGGGTTGAGGGTAGGGTTTAGGGCTTCGATTTTAGGGTTTAGGGTTTTGGCTTGGGTGTTTAGGTTTGTTGGGTTTAGGGTTTGAAGGCTTTAGGGGTTCAGGGTTGATGATGCTTCCTTCCGGTCCTTCTTGTACCGGGCTTGCTTCTCTGCGTACCTAGATTCTAAAGTGTAGCACGTTTGTGGTTACCTTAAAGTCTTAGTACAGGATCCGAGCCATTAGATGGACTAAACCCAGAAAAGCTACATTCCAGGGTCTATGTAACCATGGCACATGCTCAATGGGCTACAATCTTCGGGCCTGGACGATGCCTGAAAACAAGCGAACCTATGGCTGACCAACTCTCCCCACACGGCAAGCAGGGAAACATATGCACAATCAGCCGGAACCTTAAGCCCTGACCCTTACCTCAAACTACCAAAACTTACTTTGTTGTAAGATGCCTATAAATTCTATATCCCGGTTTAAAAAAGGGTTATAACAAGAACCTACAAACAAGTAGGTTGTGGTAGTTTACAGTTTAAGTTTAAAGTAAACTTCATAAACCACTTCCCCACAGGGTTGCCCAGCCAGCAATGCAACACGACGAGAAAGCCTCACTCGCTGCCAGATTTGAACTGGATCTTAAACCGTACCTTAACCCCGAATAACCTAGCTTTTGTAAGGACTTATACAAGAAACCACTAAGGAAGCCTAACAGGTAGGTTTTATAGACTCTAGGTGACCCGAATCCAGAAGCAGCTGGGCCAAGGACTCTTCGCCAAAAGCAGTAAAGTTACACCTACGCACTATGCCCCAAACCCTAAACCCTACACCCTAAACCCTAAACCCCTAAACCCCTAAACCCTACACCCTGAACCCTAAACTCAAAACCCCATAACCCAAAGTCGTCTTGAAGCTTCAAGCCTCCCCGATCACGAAACAGCACGACTAAACACTCCAAAACCTTTGGACTACACATACATGGGGCTGTCAGACAATTAGTGGTACCTCTTTGAAGGTCCCCTGTTAAAAGGGTCGTGTGATTTAGGTAAATGTTAGGGCATCGCATTTTTCTGACACTGACACACCCAAACCGAAGCCCGAAAAGCATTGACAAGGCATCGAATGCACGATAATACAGCAAAGAATACCGGAGAACATTGCAACCCAGAAGTGGCAATCTCAAAAACCCGCAACCAAGGCAGTCTGGGTTGATAAACCAAGCCGCAAGCAAGCAAGAGAACCTAAACACTAAATGCTACACGTCCTAGACCCTTGGAATCTCTAGAACCCAACTAAAAAACTATAGCACCTACAATGCCTAACTCCTCAACATGCAACCTGAACCGGGAAACCAGCGGCAACCTAGTAGACCCAAACTATAGGGTTTAGGGTTTAAGATGGCTTTAGGGTTAAGGGATTCTAGGGTCTAAACCTCGTAAACCTAAACTGTAAACCTGAAGCCCTTTGCCTTACCCCAAGGTTCCAAGCTCACATCGTCCGATTTGAAAGCCCAGAAACCATAGTAAACCCTAAACCCCTACACCCCTACACCCGGAAACCCCAAACCCTCAAGCAAAAGGAAGACGAGCTGCGGGGACTCGCACCCAGCCCAGGGAACGTCTCGCGACCTGTATTAATGTAGGGGCCTTCATAAGTAGAATAGGGTTTTGGGGTACCTTATAGTCAAATTACAATAAGGAACCATAACCCTAAGGGTCCAAGTAGCTCATTATCAGATACTCTCTCAAACAGTAACCTACATAGCTACTATCCGAAACCTAAGTACCTGATTATTGGGTCCTTTGGACCCTTGGCGTAAGGAATAATCACCCTCAACCCTAAACCCTAAACCCTAAACCCTAAACCGGTTGGCAATGATTTCGGCTTCTATATTTTTAGATGTGGGCTTAGACGCAAGGCGTAGGACTTACAGGGCTTCCAGGCTTGACGGGTTCAGGGGTTTAGGGCTTTAGGGGTTATAGGGTTTAGGGTTTTGGGGTTTAGGGCTTATAGGGCTTATAGGGCAGGGTTTAGGGTTTAGGGTTTAGGGTTTAGGGTTTAGGGTTTAGGGCTTAGGGGTGTGGGGCTTATAGGGTTTAGGGGTTTAGGGCTTGTAGGGTTTATGGGGCTTAGGGGCTTGGGGCTTGTGGGGTGTAGGGGTTTAGGGTTTATAGGGTTGATAGGGCATGGGGGTTTAGGGTTTATAGGGGAGGTTAGGGGTTTAGGGTTGAAGGTTGAGGTTCCTGAGCTTAGGGCTTGGAGGAAGGGTTTACGCGCCTTAATCATTAGACACTGTTATACTATAACTAGAGCAAGGAACCCCCAAAAGAGTCTTGGTAATCATTTCGACCCCTATATTAGGGGAGCTTCCGAAAACCCTAAACCCTAAACCCTAAACCGGACCGAAAGCGGACACCTTGTTTGGGGGGGGGGGCCTTCTAACAAGGGGCCCCAGAGGCCGGCAAACTCACAGGAACCCATGATCCCGTTAGGGTTTAGGGGCTTAGGGTTCAGGGCATTTCGAGGGGATGTCTGCTGCTGCAAAGTGCTATTGCATGGTTTAGGGTTTAGGGTTTAGGGTTTAGGGTTTAGGGTTTAGGGAGGTTTTGCTCTCGGGCTTATCAAGTAGCCTGAAGCACGAATAACCTTCAAAAAGTCGACGCCAACAAAAACAGTCAATGAATGTATTTAGGCCTCTTCCGTAGGGTATATGAACTAAGGGCTTCGCGTTTCTTTTGGGGTTCAGGGTGGTCGGTCTCGGGTTCAGGGCTTCAGGATTGAGGGGTTTTGGGGTTTGGGGTCTACGGCCGTTTAGGTTTTTAGGGATTGAAGATCTTGGCTTGGTGGTTTGGGTTTATCGTAAACCCCCAAAAGTTGGAAACCGGATTAAGGACAATAAGTGCTGGGATCCTTTGTACATTAGTCTTAAGGATTGAGGCTATTGGATTTCCAGTTTTTGGGCTTCTACTCTAGCGCTGTTTGGGTAAGTAAGAGTTCCTCCTGCCAGGGTGATGTTTGCTTCCATCCTCCACAGCTACGAGTTTGGTCGAACCTGGCAGCACGGCGGCAAGTTGACTGTTCGTACGGGCGCCTTTAGCATTATGGGCTTAGCCTACCTTCTGTGCTGGGCACTTTGGGGTCTAGGTTTAGGTGCTGCGCTCTTAGGGCTTGGGGCTTAGAAAGCCCTAAACCCGTAGGGCGCAGAAGAGGATTTGTGCTCCGAGTTTGCAGGGTTGTTTTGTGGCCAGCAGCGTTGTTGGAGAGATCGAGGGCTGAGATTTAGGGGTTGGGGATCCTGTTTTGAGATTTCCCCTTGAATATGTCTGAGTCTGAGGAGCCATGACCCCCAAAAAAACCGAGGTTTGTGCAGGGCACTTGTTGGTAGAAGTTACCACACTGTCCCTAGCCCTAACCGTGTCACATGCCCTGTCTGTTCGATACGAGATCACTGTTGCTCTACCACAAGCCCTCACGAAGCCCTTTCTGGGCAAGCCCCTGCTGCTTCAGGTGTTCCTGTCGGCTCGACCGCACGCTTACAAGGAACCTGCTTGGGTTGGGCTTTGAGTTCGCAGTGAAGGGTTTTAGGTTTCAGTAGGGGGGCTGGGGTCAAGGGCCTGCAAGGATTTTCCAAGGATGCTGCACGGTTTCACTAGGTTCCTGAGTAGTACCCTTTTGTGCTTGTTTATTGTATGGTTCCCGTATTAAAACTGAATAACGATAACAGGAAAAAGGGTACCCTTACTCTTAAGGGGTCATTCAGGAACCTAGTTCAGTTCTAGGTCTTTGTACCCATAGGCCCCATAGTAGTTCCTTTTTGGGTTTCATATGTAGAATCCTATCAGGTAATCCCAAAAAGGAACTACTATGGGGCCTATGGCCTATGAGTAGGGCTCAGATTTCAGGGTTCCGATCTCGGGGTTGCTTCTCTTCTTTGGACGGTATGAGGCTCTAAGAGTCGGAGGTTCCGTCACACTGTAGTTCCGCATTTGACTGGTTGAATTAAGCGCTCTGCCAGCTTGGGTTTAGGGTTTAGGGTTTAGGATTTAGGGTTTAGGGAGGAAGCTCCGGAATGAAGTTGGTGCACATTGTGCAGCTCTCGAATTTCAGTGTTTATTACGCATGTGAATGTGAAGATCCCCATGCCCAAACCCTTTGCGAAGAAGGTACCTGTGGCAAACCCTGCAAAACAGTAGGTCACTTCCCTTGAGATACCCTAGACCCTAAACCCCTAAATCCTAAACCGTGGGTACGGTGATCTCATCACGCTCTTCGAGGTTGCCGAAGGCCGGAGGCCTTTAGGTAGTTCACTTGTCCGATATCACCGATGTAGTGCCGGGTTGAGTGTGTGGGGTTTAGGTGTAGACTTCTCTCCGCATTCGGCGAACTCCTTGGTTTGAATTATCAAATCTTTCCAAAAGCCCGATAGCAGCCTTATGAAACATGTGTGGACATCCTCATAGTTAGAATGTTCCTACTAGGTTTTTCCAGAAAAACCTAGTTTTTCTAGAAAAACCTAGTAAAAGCCGCAGCAACCCCTAGAGACTTCCGCGTAGGAGACCTCCCTAAGCCGCATCCCCCCCCCCCCCAAAAGACTCCCTCAGCAACATGCTCAATCTCCTCCGAAATCTCTACAGAAATCCTGGAAGAGTGGCTGAAATCCTTAAGAACTTCAGAACAAATCCCTACAGAACCTTAATATAAATCCTCATGGAACCCTTTGCCGTAGGATTACCTGGAGAGCAAGTCGTATCAGCTCTTCCGGCGCCTCCGGAAGAGCGGGAAAATGCATCCCGGAGTTGATGGTTTAGGTTTCAGGGTTTAGGGTGTATAGGGTGTAGGGTTTAGGTTTTAGCGTTTAGGGTTTAGGGGATCTTTTGGGATTAAGGATCTTTCTGTTTTTGATCCTTGGGTTCGGGGATTGGTGCTTCGGGTTTCAGCATCTTTGGGGATTTCTGAGTTCGTTGTAAGCGTTCCTATAACCCCTCTCTAGAGCCCATAAGGGTTCCGATAAGGGTCTCTGGAAGTGCCAGCTTTGTTTGCAGGAGAAGGGTTACAGGGTCGTAGGGCTCGAGGATTAGGGTTTGGGGTTCTTGGGTGGATTGTTTGACGTGGTTTGCTGAGATGCAATAGTCGTGACGGCTGCCGATTCCCAGCTGATGCAGGATCTGAGTTTGGGTTCAAAAAGGGAGGGGATTTTGGGGTGTAGTTGTATCGAATCCTGTTTAGGGCTCTTCATGTCGACCTTACAATTTCGGAGACATAGAGTCAAGTGCCGGGTGGTTGACCTGTGTGGTTTCAAGCCGCACGCTGAAGGATATTTTGGGATCATGGGGTGCTCGAAGCTTGGCCGGGTGTGGGTTAGTACAAAGAAAGAGAGAGGGGGGTTTGGCTTGGCAGCGACTGCTTGCAGACGGATTCGCCCGGGAACTCCGTTTGTTGCATCGTCGTTCAGCAACCGCGGCTTGTTGAGAACATTGGCGATTAGAATTATACATGCAGTTGTAGTTGCATGTTACGGACATGGCAATGGTGATCGTTGCTGTGGGCGGTAAGTATAGTTAGTGGCAGCAGGAAACAAGCCTCACACTCCAAAGCTCGCTCGTTCCTAAATAAAAAGGCTCCGAGTGAAATCCAGAAGCCACATTATAGACGAGGCCAGGAGCCCAACATCGATGAGACTTTAGCTTAAGCATGTCGTGATCCCCCGAACCTGACGATACATGCGGAAACCCCACAAACCCACACTCTCCACCGCAGTTTTTGGCCAAGAGGGGCGAAAACTAGCGCCACCCATGGGGATCTCGAAGAACCCACCTTGCAAGCGGCAACGGCGTGCATCATTGCAGCTCCTCCCGCCTCAGAGGGGCCTGACAAACTGGGGCTCACGGTTTTGCGTTTGGGTATCGGGCTGGACGAAGGGAACATCTGCATAAGCATGCCCGGTCCCGTAGCGCCTTACCCACACAGCCAAGTATTCGTTGTTCACCCTAAACGCTGAGAGATTTTGGAGCCATGGAGCCGCGGTCTTTGGAGCGCGAGGGTGTTATGGAGCCCGCGCCAGAGGTGGCTTTCAGTTCTTCCTGTATTCGCAGCTTCGTAGGGTTTGGGGTTTAGGCCTAATCCCGAAACCCTAAAACACCCCTAAACCTCTCTATCATGCAGTAGTTTAAACCTTAAAGAAATTCGTTGAATAAGGGCAAAAATTCGTTGAATAAGGGCAAAAACTCGTTGAGTAAGGGCAAAATTTCGTCGAACAAGGGCAAAAATTCGTTGAACCAACGATTTTAAGGGCAAACATTCGCTCAACAAGGGCACAAATTCGTTGAAGAAGGTACCGGGTCGGGTTTTGGGGGCAAAAATTCGTGGAATAAGGGCAAGAATTCGTTGAATGAGGCCGTTTTGCCCTTATTCAATGAATGTTTTGCCCTTATTCAACGAATTCCGTTGAGTAAGGTCAAAAACTCGTTGAATAAGGTCCCGGCTCGAGTTTTGGGCTTAGAGTTTCGGGTTTAGGGTTTTGCTCTCCGCAGGATTTCGGTCCCAGGGTCAGGAATGATTGCTGGAGCTTGATAGATTGAGCAAAACTGTGGAAGGTTCCAGGGTGGGTAGGGGGTGATGTATTTTGAAGGCTGGGCCAGGCTGGGCCTCTTGAGGGGTCAAATCATGTAGCTCTTGGAGGCTGGGCCGCCAGACGATGGCGTCATTCTTCAGTGGTCGTTTAGTTATTTTTTGTTGCTGCCTGTCTTGTTATACCATGTAGCTTTTGAAGGCTGGGCCCCTTGAGGGGTATCAAAAAGTGAACGGAACTCATTTGTTATGAATGAAAAAACTTTTCATCTCCAATGTTATGGGATTCTGAGGGTGGGTGGGTGTTATGTCTAGAACATGAAGGTAACTTCACTGTAAAATAGCTCCACTCAGAGCTGCTGAACCCTAAACCCTAAACCGTAAGGACTAAACTCTGAACCCTAAGCCCTAAACCCTAAGTACCAAACTCTAGACCCTAAGCCCTGCACCTTAAACACTAAACTCTCAAGCTTTGGGCTGCGGTGGTTTGGGGGCTCAAGGGGTGTTGAGGATCCAGGCGCGTCTGCGCAGAGGAGCTTTATAAAGGGATTGTGGGCTCAGCCTGTTTACAAAGTCCCATGGTCCTGCAACGAGTAGAGAAGTCTGAAGAACACGTAGTAATATCATATCCTTGTATGCAGAGTTTATTTTAAAAGCATACGGTAACGTACACCAAAACCCTGTTCTGGTTCTCAAAGCCCCATTATTGGGCAGTTTAGAGATTGTGGATGTCTGCGCAGGTGCTTCTGGTAGCTTCAAAGAGTCTGCAGAAGCACGCCGAGATGCGGATCGTCGCAGTACAGGCCGCATACTTCAACTCGAGTCACGTTTGCAGGGCGACTAAATAGGGGTTTAGGAGTTTCGGGTTTTCAGCTCAGGCTTCAGGGTGGAGAACTCATTAGTAGGGGGTCCCAAATTAGGGGATTTACTTTTTTGGAGCTTCCAAAACTGGTTGCCTCCAGAGTGAGAAGGAGCCGAGCTCCTACAGCTTTGATTTGATTTAAGTTCCTCTAGGAGTTCCGTTGAGGGTTCGTTTAGGGGTTCTACAAGGACTTTCGGCTTTGGGGTGTCGCTTTTTTTGTCTTCGTTCAGGGTGGGGAATTGAAAAAGGAGGATCCCGTGTATTGTAAGGACCCGGAAATACGGGAAAACCCCCCCGCCATACTTGGAACCTCAGGGGTGAATAGGGTTGTAATGCAGGGGCCTAAATAATTACCAACACTATTTTGGGGGCTCCTCATTTGTACTTATCGTATAATGGGTCCCCCAAAACCCTAACCCTAAACCCTAAACCCCTAAACCCTAAACCCTAAACCGTAAACCCTAAACCCTAAACCCAGACAGCTATAGCTATCTTGCTTGTGATCGACTTCGTAAGTCCCTGATCCTTCGAGTAAGCCAGGTTCAAGCACACCCGCCCCCTATATCCTATGCTAAAGATGCAAAATTTGCCATAAAATCCTGAAGCCCCCTAAACCCTAACCCTAAACCCTAAACCCCAAACCCTAAACTCTAAACCCTCAACACAGCCCAAGGATCCGGAAACCATGTCAAAGCTCCGCTGTGTTGCGGAACTCGAGGCTCTTTGCCGCCTGTGCTTCGACGTGGCCTTCACGCCGCAGGTGTTGGCTCTTGGGGCAGGAGGTTTGTGTTTCGGGCTTTGGGGTTTGGGGTATTAGGAGTCTATTTTAGGGTTTAGGGGTCAGGCGTTTACGATTTACGATGGGTTTAGGGTGCTAGGGTTCTGCACAAAAAGTGGGTACTAGGTGAGCCGCACAAGTTCTCTCTTTCCCGATTAGGCGCGGTCTGGTTTTGTCAAGATCTCACTTAGGCTTTGGGGTTTGGGTCGTGGGTCAGGAAGGAACCTTACCAGTTCTTTCGCACTTCAAAAAGTCTACGGGTTCCGGGTTTAGGTTTTGGGATTTCCTGGAGAAAGAGAGAGAGAGAGAGAGAGAGAAGTCCGAAACCTATACTTTGCATCCTAATTGCCAGGCCCTCTCCAGCCTGAACCTTTGTATGAAGTCCCTTGGTCCTTCAAAGGTATCAGCCGGTTGCGGTCGAGGTGTACAAGAACTGCAGCCGACTATGATGGGGGTTCCTTATTATTACTATAGTATAATGGGCCCCAAAACCCTATGCTAATTATTAAGGCCCCTACACAAGGGTGTAAGGTTTGGGTGTAGGAGTGTAGGATGAAGCGCTTAGCGTGCGGGGTTTAGGGTTCTTGTTGGTCTGGGGCTGGCTTGAAAACTATCTCTTCAAAAGGCCCAGCCTCAAACATGCCCACAGACATTCAGCTTTCCATTAGGCCCCCAAGTCGGGAATAGAATCCCGAGCCGAAGAACTGAAGTCCTTCTAAGGGCTTTTGAACGTCAACAGCTCAAGGCCGCAAGCATAGGAAAAAGGCCTTACTCCACGATTCACCCGCGACACACCTTAAACCCTCAAATCCTAAACACAAAAGTTAAAGCCGAAACCCAAACCTTAAACCCTGTAGCGTAAACCCCAAGCCTTAGCCCTAAACCCTGCACCCGAAACCCTAAACCCCAGCCTCGCTTGGAGGACCATGGGCTAGAAGTACCTTAGCTGGGGTTATAAGTAACTACAAGTATAGTTGCCCTGATCATAACCCGAGTTACTAAGTCCCATGATCCTTGAAGTAGTATCTGAGCCCCTAAACCCTAAACCCTATGCCCTAAACCGT